CCTATCCGGCAGGGTTTGGTGTTGGGTGAATAAGAATGAGTCATGAGATGGTGCTCTTACTCCATATGGGCCAGGGTGTTATTAGGGAAGAGTTGACAGGCCATGGTCCACAGACCCCAAGCTCTTAAAAACAACACTCCACCAAAGACAGTGGTGTGCAGGGTGCTGTAATGACCTCTTCTTTTCTTGGGATGGGGTTCGTTCCCCCTCCCTCTTTTCTCTACCATTTCTCCTTCAGCCAGCTTGGAATGTACTATTATTTTTTTGCACAATATTTACTTTAATGGTAATACTAGCCAGTAACTAATTCCATCAGTAAAAAATAAACTGTGAGATAATACTTTAAAATTTGTTGCCTGCAGCTGATGTAGTAAGTTTATTCCTCACTTTTTGACATAAGGACTGACGTAGTTAAAGATATAATTCAGAAATCTTTTGGAGAACTTACTTGGATAAAAAACGGTTCTCTAGTAATGGTACTTAATGATGTCAGCTGTGGATCATGACCAGAAAGCTGAAAAACACATTTCCCCCGCCTGTTCTGAGCATAGCATGTGAGGTGTTAATCCATGTGGGGTGCCGACAGGAGGCTATTAAATAGTCAGACTTCCCTCAAGGTAACAGACTAATTCCGATGATCTCAGATGCCACTAAAATAAATAAAATCAGCTGTGTATTTTTTTAAATTTTCATTTTGGTTGCTATTGGTGACAGCCCATCTTATTTTGATATATTTTTATATGGGTGAATAATAGCTATGATCCATAGTAGTTAATATTCTCATAATTGGCTTTAATTATTGAGTGTGTGGCAGCAGCAGGGAACTGACAGGAGTTATGTCCACCAATAAGAACGCAGAGTGTACACAGGCTGAGCCCAGTGTGCCAATCAGGAAATAATGTACCCTACTGTTTCCCATAAATTATGAAATCTTTCATATATATTTCAAGCTGAAGCTGAGGAAAGTTGATGAAAGACTACTGTTAATTGTTTCTGGATTGTGTCTTTGTGGTGGTTCCATTTTAAATCTTTAATGTTGGATTTTACATTTATTTCTTATTGGCTAAGAGGTCTCAAAGTTGTTGAACTGTGGGCTAGTGTTGCTATCTGGCTTGTAATTGCATGTGATGCTACATAAAACTTTTTCCTTTCCATTTTGTAACCATAGTAGTAGCTCAGGGCCAGATAACTTTGTCAGACATTCTTATCTTAGCTAGAAACTTACACGCTCGTTACATAACAACTGCCAACTGACACCAGCATCATAATATTGCTAATTAACCTGGTCAGAGAATTTACTTAGATGTGTTACCTGTCACTTTAGCAGCCAGAAATGCGCAGATATAAAATGGTTTCGAAACTTGACTCTCCAACTAGCACTGCCAAGGGGGATTGTGGCAAAATCCATTTGATTGGTGCCCATTCATCCTTGGTACACGTAGTTTTTGCATAACCAGCCAGGGAAAACAGACTGGATTCAGCAGAGACAAGCCATGTGTATGGGTGGATTATCCCGTTTGTTGTTCGCGGCTTTCAAATGGACCAGTCGGCTCACCTGTGCCCCACTTCATCCAGCTTTTAACAAAATCTGAGCCTCCCTCCCTTGCGCTTTTTGGTCCGTCCGAGCGCTACCAGAGAGCACCGGTTACCCAAAGTCGGACTAGCTGCATTTCCGATCAGCAATGCGACTGGTCATGCAGGGCAGCAGCTAGAAATGCAGCCTTGCTCCGAATCTGTCATATGTAGGTTGGCACCGAAAGACCTGCTTACGCAGTGCATACCCCATGGTGTGGGAGAGTGCTATTCAGCTGGGGATTCCCTTGTCCCTGTCTTGGGCCCCTGTGCCAGAACATTCTCCATGCAAGGTCATGGACCAGTGCACACTTTCAGTCTTTATTCTTGCCAGTCAATGGCGCTTATGGGAAAAGTCCGTTTTCATTTTCCCTAATTCAGTTATGATGTATAATTTTGCATGGTATAACAATCTGCACAATTTATATGTTTTTAAGATTGGTATTATCTTACTAGAATGATCCCAGTGTGTCAGACACTACCAAATACAGTGGAAACTGCTTATACTGATCACAATTATAGCGATCAGCTGCTTATATGGATAAAAAAGCTTGGGACAGAATCATTCCTGTACAAATAATGTTTAAATAATTCACTTAAAGTAATGAAATAGTCTACTTCCAGTGTTCATTTTGGGTCTCTTTAAAGATATGGAACTAATTAAAACTACGTTCACTTTGATAAGCCTACTTTGCCTTGCAGTAACCTGTCTGCTTCTGGCTAGCTACCTGAGGCTAATGCTATGTGCACAGAAAACATGACGGGGAAAAAGTCATTTTCTCTCAATGACAAATATAGATTCATCAAACCTTTTGATAAACCGGCAAAATGAGCCACCGAGATGCAGCGAAAGTACAATAAGCGTTTTGAGACAATGTGAAAATGCACTATTATAGTGTATTCGAATTGTACACAATTCAGTAATTTGTACAGTACTGTAATTTGGAAAGTGTATGAAACAGCTGTACTGTATTTTGAAATCATCAATAAAATTTAGTAATAGTGACGCTGTCCTTTTTATTACCTTATATTTATATAATAAATATACAAATAGAAAGTACATGGTAATCTGCCTGAGAAAAAAATAAATTTTAATGATCATCCGCTTATAGTGATCAAATTAACCCAGACATGATCACTATAAGTGGTTTCCACTGTACCAGTCGAAATAAATTGCCAGATTATTGGTCTGCCGTCCGTTTATGTACATTGTTTACATTGCGTGCCCAACTCGTGATTAACTCATCGCATTACAGCTGCAGCCCCCTCCCCCCTGCTTTGGGGTGACCACACAGCTTCGGGCATATCGTTTTGGCATGGTGCTTGTGTGTGGGAAGCCACCCGCGAGTCACTTTCCGCCCATCGGCAGCCGTCAGGAACTTGGTTCTCGTCTTTCCCAAGGTAATGCTGTTGTCATGGGAACCGATACGGAACGGGCTCCGTGGGGAGCCAAAAAGGTGCCGTAACCCCGTGTCAGCATTGTCGCGGTGCATTATTTATAAACTCGGCACGCGCCTTTATGCGAGATGACTTGCGCGCTTTATGAATGGCATCTTTATTACGTACACTTCACCCCCTTATTTTGGAACTTCAAATATGTTTTGGTAAGCTCGTTACTGTATTTGGTTCCATTTATCCCCCTCCCCCCACCTCCCATTCCATTTATGATGAATGCACAGTCCCATATTCCCTGGCCAGCCCCAGGAGCATGTGTAAAAATAGCCATCTGGCTTGGAGGCCGCCGCCCCGCCCTGAATGCGCCTTGGCTGGGCCCGGCCATGCAGCCGGGGCCAAACCGCTTGCATCTCAGGCGCTCGACTCTGCTGCAGCCACCGGGCGATGTCGAGTGATGCCTGGGGCCCACGGGACCCCCAGGGCACCCTGGAACTACGGATGGTCAAGTACAGCGAGGTCTATGGGTTTTGGCCTTCAGTCAGAGTGCAGAAAGTATCCTGATGTACCTGAGAAAGATAATCTGAATTAGCACAAAGCAAATATTCAGCTTTGGGAACAGATAGAAGTACATAAACTTCAGTAGCAAGTCTTCCGGTAACTTTTGTGTTGAAATGGATATTGCGGACTTTATATCCAGTCAGTCCACTGGAGAAAAAAAAGAAATGATGGAGAAGTACTGCAGCAGCTTTTCTGTAATTTCTAAAACTGAACTCCACAATTTATTCTGTTAGGACTCGTACCCTAACAGACCCTGGATCTGAAAATTAATGTTGTGGGCCCACTGCTCATGGGGGGGGGGGCATCCCATGGGACTGTGAGCCAGCAGTGACAACACAGTCCTCAGGCGCCAGTTCCTCCCCCTATCCAGCCGGGACAGGTTCCACATTGTTCCCTTCATTAGCGCTTTAGGAGTTGACTGGGGACTAATTTAGCTGCTTGGCTCCAAGGTTGACATGGTTTCTCAAAAGGCTAGCTCAAAGCTACTTCAGATAGCAACAAAGGCTGCTTCTTCAGCCAGCAACTTGATACCTGAGTCTTCAGTATCCTAGCAATACTTGAACACATTACTGAGGATAGACAGGGGCACTCATGATCTGTAGTAGCAGTTGCTATTGGCAACACCATACAAGTGATTTGTATCTTACTAGGAAGATGTAACTCCAGCTACATTCTAAATAGTCTGCTGTTCAGTTGGATGTTAACTGGGTATTTCTCACATTACTGTATGTCTCAGGCTTTGGTAATTTCTGATCAGGGTG